CCCGCACTCACTGGCCCAGCTGGGGGTCAGGACCAGCGCCCCCGAGAGCAGCAGGAGGAGGGTGGGGGGCCTCATGGCGGGCATCCTTGGTGTCCTGGGACCATCTGAGTCGGGGCGGTCCGCTGAGAGGTTATATCATGGAAGGCGAATTGGCGTCTCTCGAAACCAGACACCCAATGGGAGTGAGCAGTGAGGCTGCGTCATGTGTATCCGGGAAGGAGGAGTCAACAGGGAATTTGAGATGGAGAAGGGAAACCCCAGGGAGAAGGGGAACCCCCAACACTGAGCTGCTCTGCTCCAGACTCTTCCCTGTGGCTGAGACCTGAGCGCCAGGCCTGGGCCCCGCCCGTCCTCCTGCAGGGGGCGCTCTCTGCCCACTGTCTCCCTGAAGGAGCATCAGGCTGGTGCTCTGAGCTCCACTTCACCCAGAACATGGAGGCGGCCCAGCAAAGCTGTGGATGTTTCTATGAGTGAGTAACAAGGGTCCCTCAGGCACAGCCTCAGGGGGCCATGGGCTGGTAGTTGGCATTGGCACTGAGTTGAATTTTGGGAAATGCTGTTGATGTCTGAGAGTCAGAGGCCTGGGTGATTGGGGAACCTCCCTCTGCATCCCACGTGGACGCTGAGTGAGAGCAAGCAGAGCCCCCCCCCCCATGTCATTTATGAGTCCCTTGTTCTTCCAGCCAAACCCGAGAGCCTGCAAAGAGCTGCTGATCAGTGATGTTGAGCATCGTCATGTCTCTGGGCCATGGGCAGATCCTCTTTGGAGAAGTGTCTACTGAGGTACTTTGCATATTTTTTTCTTTTCATTCATTTTGTTGAAATAATTCTCTCCCCCCCCCCCCCCCCCCCGGGGGGCCCCCCGCCCCCCGGAGAGTCGGGTGGAGGGGATGTGACTCTGTGTTGGGAGGTTGTGCCCCGGCCACTGCTCCATACAGCTGGCGGGGGTGGAGACTGACATAACATTTTCTGAGCGTGCATTTCCCAATCCACACAGGAGACATCCTGTCCCCACCTCACAGATGAGGACAACGGGGCTCTGCAAAGTCAGGTGGCCTGCCACGGCCAATGGCAGAGCCTGGCTGGAGAATATCTGTGGGTCAGATAGTGAATGGCTCAGGCTGTGCCCCATGTGGTCAAGGTAGCAGCTCCTGACCCAGTCATTGTGCCCACAGAGTGGCCTGGGTGAGAAATACATGGTGGCTGTGCTGTGTTCCAATCACACTGCATCTCACGAGCAGGACGGTGGCTAGCTGTGGCCCCTGGGCTGGAGGTGGCTGTCCTCTGTTGTAGGTGCTGAGCCCTCCCCTGTCAGCCCTCACCATGGCTAGTACTGGCCATAAAAGACAAGGATCTCTTCCCTCTGGTGCCAGCATGGATGGACCGGGAGAGTATTATGCTAAGTGAGGTATGCCATTCAGAGAGAGACAAATGCCGTGTGATCTCACGGACACGTGGAATCTAATGAACACAGTAACTGACCAACAAAATAGAAAGAGCAGCCTGGATGGTGGAACAGACCGGCACCTGTCAGAGGGGAGGAGTTGGAAGGCTGGATGGAAGAAGGTGAAGAGATTAACCAAGAACATGCATACAGCCCTAACTGTTTTGGCTCAGTGGATAGAGTGTCAGCCTGTGGACTGAAAGGTCCCAGGTTAGATTCCGGTCAAGGGCATGTACCTTGGTTGCAGTCACATCCCCAGTGGGGAGTGTGCAGGAGGCAGCTGATCGATGTTTCTCTCTCATCGATGTTTCTAACTCTCTATCCCTCTCCCTTCCTCTCTGTAAAAATTCAATAAAATATATATTTTTTAAAAAGAACATGCATGCATAGCCCATGGGCACAGGCAACAGTGTGGTGAGGGGGCGTGGGGCAGGGACCGCATGGTAGTGAGCTAAGCAGGGGCTGGGGGGCGGGGGAAGAGATGGGGACATGTGCAATAGTGTCAACAATAAAAATAAGGTTTAAGAAGTAAGATGTAAAACTCCCCTGGACTCTAACTTCCCATTCCTTCTAGTGCCACACTGCCCTGTGTCAGCACCTCTTCTCTGAGCTCTCACAGGGCCGATAAAACACTGCTTTGTTCATCACACCTTCTGTGCCTCTAAGTATGAAAATACAGATGCATATCATCTTTATTCTAAAATCCCCCCAATGGGTGGTAAGTCTCTGATGCTCTGTAACTGTTAAATAAATAAACTGTGGGCTTGGCTGGAGCGCTCAGTTCTGTAGAGCAGGAGTCGCAAGCTGGTTGCCCGTGGGACACTGGTGGTTCGTGAGGTCCAAAAGGTTGGCGACTGCTGCCTTAGAGCGTTGTCCCGATGCTCCAAGGTTTGGGGTTTGATCCTGGGTCAAGGCACATACAAGAATCAATCCATGGATGCATACATGAGTGGAACAACAAATCGCTGTTTCTCTCTCTCTCTCTCTCTCTCTCTCTCTCTCTCTCTCCCTTTCTCTCTCTCTCTCAAATCAATAAATTTAAAAAAATTAAATTTAAATGAAGAAACCTGGGGTTTCCCAGGATCTGCTTCAACCTGTAAGTATCCAGCAAATATTTACTCAACGTGTACTGGTTACACCGCATTAGATGGAACCATGGATTCAAATGGTCCCTCCGAAGCAGAGAGAAATTGCAGATAAAACTACAAGTCCATGAAGAGCTTGAGTTCAGGAGCTCACAGGCCAACATGTCCTGTTGTCAGACAGTCTTCGAGCTGGTTGGGATACAGCCGAGAACAAAGCAAATGTCCCATCCTAATGGATTTCGCTTTCATTCTCGGGAGACAAACAAGACCTGAGCTAACTATGTATTGTATTAGATCAGGAGCCAGCCATCTGAGGACCCGGGGCCCAGTCTCACCCTCTGCCTGGTGTTGTAAGTAAAGTTTCATTAGGGAATAGTCATTCATTTGCATAGTCTCTAAAGTTGCTTTTGAGCGACTGTGGCAAAGTTGAGTTATTGTGACAGAGATTATGTGAACCATAAAGAATAACATATAGGCCCCGGCTGGTGTGGTTCAGTGATTAGAGCACCAGCCCCCACCCCAATGGGCCCAGTTTCCATTCCTGGTCAAGGGCAGGTGCCTGAGTTGCAAGTTCCATTGCTGGTCCTAAGCGGGCATGTGCAGGAGAAAATCAATTGATGTCTCTCTTATATCAATGTCTCTCTCACTCTCTCCACTCTTCCTTCCACTCGGTCCAAACATCAAGGGAAAGAATTTCTTCAGGTGAAGATCAACAACAACAAAGGAACATTATTGGGCCCTTCCCAGGAAAAAATTGCCGACTCCTACCTCAGACAGTAAAACCTGCTGCGGACTATTGTCTTGGTTGTGTAAGTGTATCAGGATACGTGATTAGAGTGCTCATGTGGGGCGTGGCCATCAGAAGCCTGTCAGTCAAGGCCACATTAGACCCAAGATTTGGAGGAGGTAAGAAAGGGAGTCACCCAGATCAACAGAGGGCACCTTCCAGACAAGTAAACAGCCAGTGTAACTGGTTAATGTGGGAGCAGGCTGCTCTGTTCCGGGTACAATAAGAAGGAAGACACGTGGTGAGGCAGGGAGCACCATTGCGGCAGGAGGTGACGTGAGGAGGTGAACCCGGGCGGCAGATGACAAAGGAGCATCTGAGCTATTGAAAGAATGTACTGACTTTGAGTGGGATGATGAACCAGGGGGTATAATTCTCTTCATTCTAAAAGCAATACATTCAGTCCTTCTCAATGCTGTTGGCTGTTTCTGTTTGTTCTTTTTTTGTTGTTGTTAATCCTCACCAGAGGACATTTTTTCCATTGATTTTTAAAGAGCATGGCAGGGAAGGAAGGAAAGAGAGAGAAGGAGGGAGGGAGGGAGGGAGGGAGAGACAGACAGAGAGAGAGAGAGAGAGAGAGAGAGAGAGAGAGGAGGGGCATCAGTGTGGGAAAGACGTGTTGATTGGTTGCCTTTCACATTACAGATGCTCCCATCTCCCCCCTTCTTTGCCCACCTGCACCCAGCTCCCGCCCCCTCTCCCTTTGGCCATTGCCACACTCCTGTCTGTGTCCATGGGTTATGCATGCGTATGCTTTGGATGAGCCATTCACCTTCTTTAATGCAGTCCCTCCTGCTTCTCCCCTCTGACAGCTATCTGTCTGTTCCATGAATCGATGCCTCTGCCTCCATTTTGCTTTTCAATTTTGTTCATTAGATTCCACATATAAGTGAGATCACATGGTACTTGTCTTTCTCCTACTGGCTTATTTCACTGAGCATCACAATCTCCAGGTCCATCCATGCTGTACCAAAAGGTAAAATTTCCTTCTTTTTGTGACCAAGTCGTATTCCATTGTGTAAATGTATTAGAGCTTTTTTCTCCCCTCCTCTACGGAGGGGCACTTGGGCTGTTTCAGATCTTGGCTATGGTACATGAGGCTGCCATGCACACAGAGGTGCATATATTCTTTAGAATGAGTGTTCTGGGATTTCTAGGATCCATTACTCATGTCCATGGAGTCCCTTCTTCATGGACATCATGAGGGAGGTTCAAGGACCCTTACCACTTCATGCTATGAGACCCTTTGAGACGGGCGGTCATGATTCCAGCTCATATCTCTCTCTCTGCAGAATATCCGGCTGCTTTTTCACAGCTAAGGCCTGTGAATACATGGTCTGTGTTCTGCAAAATAACCCCAACCTGAAGAGCCTGGAGCTTGGGAGCAATAACGTCGGGGATGCAGGAATGGAGCTGCTGTGTGGTGCTATGAAACATCCCAACTGCAAGTTGGAGAACATCGGGTAGGTCCCTGGGCGGGGAGGGAGCTCCTGTGTAGACTTGGGAAGGGCTGAGGGGATAAGTACAACTGGAAATGGGAAGTGGAAACTCGGATGTATTGGTCTATTTTTCGGAATGACGCTCTATGGACACATTCTCTAGTGCACAACTTGGGAGGGAAGTGTTCGGGGCAATAGTCCATACCCATGTGCTTGGGCCACCTTAGCTCCCCAGGGACTGGCCCCAACTCCCCTGTGCATCTCTCCTCACAGGCTGGAAGAGTGCATGTTAACCAGTGCCTGCTGCGCATCCCTTCCCTCTGTCCTTATCAGCAGCAAAACTCTGAGAAAAATCAATCTGC